TTATCAGCCTGGCAAGCGAAAAATAGAAAAAGAAGAAAAATTGATTCTTAAGAAGGGGGCCAGATAAAGTAAAAGTGATAGCAAACATATGGAAAAGGTAAAACACTAAAAGAGCACTTATTTTGGGAAGGCTAATGATGCCATTTCTGACATTAGGTCTCTGCTTGAGACGCGGAAGGATGCAACAGATATCAATGGAAATAATAATAATAATAATAATAATAATAATAATAAGACAAAACCCGTACCCATCAGTGGCTACGTAGTGCAGGGTTGAAAGCGGAAACTGAAGGTTTTATCCTTGCTGCGCAGGACCAATGCTTGCTAACTAGGAATTATCAATCACATATACTAAAATATTGTGTCAGCCAAAAATGCAGATTCTGTGATAAATATCCAGAAACGATTGATCATCTTGTATCAGGTTGTACGGTGTTGGCACCCACTGAATATAAAACCCGACATGACAGAGTGGGCCAATATCTGCACTGGAAAATCTGCAACTTCTACGGGAGAAAACTGAAAAGAAACTGGTATGAACACCACCCAGACCCGGTTACGGAGATAGGACCTGTTACAATTCTATGGGACTACACAATACACACTGACAGAACAATCAAGGCCAACCTCCCAGATATTGTTATTAAAGACCACAAACAAAAAAACGGTGCCTCCTTATTGATATGGCAGTCCCTGCCGACTGCAATGTATCTTTGAAGATATTCAAAAAGTTGTCAAAATACAAGGACCTTGAAATAGAAATCTCGAAAATGTGGCATATGGGAACATCAACAATCCCTGTTGTAGTTGGAGCCCTAGGACTGGTTGGAAAAGATTCCAGTAGACTAATTGAAGGGATTCCTGGAAGTCCATGCCTCAAGGAGATACAAAAAATTGTTCTGACAAGTACAGCCCACACCTTTACGAAGGGCTTTATCTATGTAATTTTTTTTTTTTTTTTTTTTTTTTTCAGTGGAAAGTGTCATGACGCCATTTCTAACCTTAGGTCCCTGGGCGGGATGTAAAGAAATTCAAAAAGCTATCAAAATAAAAGGAAAATAATAAAATAATAATAATAAAAATGTGGCACATGGGAACATCACCATTCGCTGTTGTAGTTGGATCTCTCGGATTGGTTGGAAAAGATTCCATTAGATTCATTGAAAATAATCCATGTAAAATTTGTATAAAAAGAAATACAAAAAAATGTTCTAAGGAGTACAGCCCACACCTTACGAAGGGCTTTATCTATATAAAATATATATTTTTTTAATTTTATTTAATTTTATATATTATTTAATATAATATTGCTAAATAATAGCAATAATAATAATAATAAATGCCCAGACATCGTTATTAGGGCCGCAAACAAAAAATTGCCTAATTATTGATATGGCAGTCCCAGCAGTCTACAATGGAACTTTGAAGATCTTCAAAAAGCTGTCAAAATACAAGGACCTTGAAATCGAAATCTCAAAAATGTGGTACATGGGAACATCAACAATCCCTATTGTAGTTGGAGCCCTCGGATTGGTTGAAAAAGATTCCAGTAGACTAATTGAAGGGATTCCTGGAAGCCCATGCCTTAAAAAATTGTTCTCACGAGTACAGCCCACACTTTACGAAGGGCTTTGTCTATGTAAAACATGTGTGTGTGTGTGTGTCTTCTTTTTTTAATTGATCAGTTCAAAATGATGTAATTCCTGGGCGGGACCCGGAAAAAAATGTGTACACACCTGAAATCAAAGGAAATAATAATAATAATAATAATAATAATAATAACTGCCGGAAATTGGTATGAACACCACCCAGACCCGGTTACGGAGACAGGACCTATTACAATTTTATGGGACTTTACAATACACACAGAGAGAACAATCAAAGCTAATTGCCCTGACACCGTGATTAGATGCCGTAAAGACAAAATGTGTCTCCTTATTGATATGGCAGTCCCTGCAGACTGCAGTGTATCTTTGATGATCTTCAAAAAGCTGTCAAAATACAAGGACCTTGAAATCGAAATCTCAAAAATGTGGCGCATGAGGACATTAACAATTTCATTTGTAGTTGGAGTCCTTGGATTAATTGGGAAAATTCGAATAGACTCATTGAAGGGATTCCTGGAAGCCTATGCGTTAAAGAAATACAAAAAAATGTACTCACAATTACAGTCCACACATTATGAAGAGCTTTGTCTATGTAAAATACTGCTCTGTGGAAAATGTCATGATGCCATTTCTGAGCTTAGATCTCTGGTTGGGACCCGGAAAGAAATGTGTATACACTGGAAACCAAAGGAAATAAAACAATAATAATAATAGTGTTGTTCAGTGCATATATTGGCCAATATGCCTCACATGCCACCACCCTCGCAAAAACAATTGGTGGGAACTACAAGTCACTACAAACTGTACAAAATGATGAGGTTATGGTCCTTTGGAATTTCAGTATTCAGACTGATATGGAAACCCAGGCAAATCGATGAGACACAAATGTGAAAAATCCTCCAAAGTTGGAGCGAATATATCAAAGATCTTTTTCGTTACGGTTTATAAAAATTTCTTAAAAGGCAGAATTAACCATCTTTACAAAAATACGAAAAGCCCGGCGTAGGCTAGGTTTACACTTGAGCCGAAAGGCAAACGTAGGCCATCTTTAATTGAGCCGAAAAATTCATTAGTAGGCTATTTAAAGAGAGCCAAAAAATTTTTCGTAGGCCAGGTTTAAAATATTGAGCCAAAAAATTGACGTAGGCCAGGTTTACATTTTAAAGCCGAATAGGCAAAACTTATTTTAAAGGTTTGTATATTTATAAAATAAAGACAGACATAGGCCAGGTTTACACTTGAGCCGAAAGGCAGACGTAGGCCAGGTTTAAAATATTTATCCGAAAGGCAGACGTAACAAATTGTACTTAATTTTTGAAAACGCAGACTTCGGCAAGTTTACACTTTAGCCGAAATTTTATTCCAAATTAAAATTACACTTGAGCATCCTAAGGCAGAATATAGGCAAGGTTTGTATTTGTCTGCCGAAAGACAGACGTAGGCCAGCTTTACACTTGAGCCGAAAGGCAAACGTAGGCCATATTTACACTTGAGCCGAAAGGCAAACATATATTCGTTTACAGTAAAGTTAAAAACGCAGACATAGGTCCCGTTTAAAGTTTAGTTAAAATGGTAATCCTTGGTAACTCTACCGCAATTTAAGCGTACTACAAGATTGGTAACTAGGCCCCAACATTTTACTGTTGAATTAGCTAGGTGTAACCGTAAATTCTATTCTATTGTAACAGTTTCTTTTATTGCACTTCTCACCGATGTATCGTGTACTGAATTCTTGCTCCCCTGCTATCTACAATCTTCAAACATTTAAATGCAACGACACTCGCTTTCTTCTGTTTTCCTGAATTCCGTTCTTTTATTGTCCTTTCTCCTCACAAAATCTTCACATTCTCTTTCGAACTCAGTAACCCGTTTCGTCTTAGTGGCATTGTCGCCTTCCTTGGTGTGAAATGATTAAAAACAATTCATTATTCGATTTTGCTTCATCTTAAATATTTATCCATAATTTTCTTCTTTTTTTTAAATTGTCTGAAAGCGCTCAGAATATATTTAAAAAAAATCCTGTTCAAATTCTTCCCAGAAACAAAAAATAAAAATAAAAATGTCCCAAACATTGTATAATTGAATACTGTTCTATCGCCACACTAAAGTCTTCTTATTCGCTTCCACTCTTGAAATGATTTTAAATAAAGGTTCAGTTTACATTTGATTCTAAAAGTATCCACGGGGAAGTAGTTTGTTTTATTTATTTATTTATTTTTTTAAGCATTTCACCCCAAGCAAGGCAGGAGTGCTACTAGCACGCAAAGGGGTTACAGAGAGTGAGAGTAAGAGTAAAGAGGGTTGTTTGAGGAAAGGGTATAGAGAAGGACGGGGGATCAGGATTAAGTCATCTGAAAATGTCGATTGGCATTACATTTGAATATTTGGAGATTATAATTATCAGGGAAGCAAGTAAGCGGAAGGGAGTTCCACTGTCGGGAAGTGCGAGACAAGAAGCTGTTGGAGTAGAAGAGGCGGTTACATTTAACTGTTTTGAAAGGGTGGGACGAAGATGCCAATAGTAGCACGCTTAAATTAATGCAATTGGGGTCCCAGTGAAAATAGCTCGTCAGAGCAGTTGACATGAAAATGTAGAAAAGACAGAGGGAAGCCACATCATGTCTGTGAGAAAGTGACTGTAGACGAGATGCCAGAAAGGAGTTACTATCTTATTTTGTAAGCATTTCACCCCAAGCAAGGTGAAGGTGCCACTAGCACGCAAGGGGTTACAGAGAGAGAGAGAGAGAGAGAGAGAGAGAGAGAGAGAGAGAGCAAAAGTAAAGAGCGTTGTTTGAGGAAAGGATATGGAGAAGGACGTGGATCAGGATCAAGGCATCAGAAAATGTCGATTGACATTACATTTGAATATTTAAAGATTGTAGCTATCAGGGAAGCAAGTAAGATGAAGGGAGTTCCACTGTTGGGAAGTGCGAGATAGTTGGGCATCTGATCCCCAAATGCTCGAACAAATGCTTTTGGAGTAGAAGAGGCGGTTAGATTTAACTGTCCTGACAGTGAAAGGGTGGGACCGAGATGCCAACCTAGTGGCACCTTTAAATTCATGCAGTTGGGGTACCAGTGAAAATAGCTCGTCAGAGCAGTTACTATGAAAATATTTGTAGAAAAGACAGAGGGAAGCACGTCTGTGAGAAAGTGACTGTAGACGAGATGCCAGATCAGGACCTATCACATTATTTGCAGGGAAAGCAGTCGACACGTTCTAAGCCTCACCAACAGGGAAAATATTAAAGATGGCAGGAGCTTGACGACAGTGGGGGGTTAGTATTTAACTCGACAACAGGGAAGTTATAGAGGTTGTTGTTGTTGTTGTCCGTTAGTCTCCGAGCCTACGAGTAATGCTTAGTAAAAATTAAAAATAGTAACAGATGAGAC